GAGGGCAAAAGGAAAACCAACAAACAAGCCCAAACTAACCATTTCTATTACTTTTTAACACCATGTACAAAGGAATATATGAGAAGCTTTCTTAAAACACAGGTACGGGCGGGTTGTGACTCAGAACATGGCAACATAGGATGAATTCAGTAAGGCCCTCAATATTCCATTCATATCCTTGCACTTCATGATGCAATAAGGAGAGACGGTAATAGACTCCATTCATTTCATCCACAGATATTTATTTATATATTTATACTGTGTTCCTACAATTGTACCAAGTACTGGGGAAACAGAAGAAAACAGAAAAGATAAGGCTCAGTTGACACAGATCCAGGGTGGAGGAGCTGGTTTATAGGACGGAGTCTCCTCTTTCTGTATAGGAATGGAGAATGGAGGTTCATATTGGGGTCAGACACAATATGGAAAGCCGAGCCCGAGGGCGGCCATCTTCCTGCTCTGCCAGTGAAAGGAGAAAAAACAAAGACCACTCCCGTGCAAGAGGTCCCAGAAATTTTAACCACAGCAGAAACTTTGTCCTTGACCCAGTGTCAGGATCCTGGATATCAAGCAGTGTTGGTGCCATTTTGGTGAGCACCATGGCCGGGCAGGGATGGGGACAGCCATCCTGACAGTCTCCAGTAGGAATTGATAAGAATCAGGAGCACAGCATTTTTGCCTTTGAAGTGGCAGCAACAGAAGAGGCAGATGGTGGCGTGTATCATGTAAGAATCCAAGAGGCCAAGACACATGTGACTCCCTTTGCCCGAGAGGCTTCAGAACTATTTCTGGAGAAATGTGAGGAAGCCAGCTTTTTGAGGGTGGGGGATAAAAACAGTGAAAAAAATGATTTCTGACAATTTATATGGCTCCACTTTTATGATCCATCCAAAAATGGTTTTCAGTCTCCAACCACAGGCAGGGAAACTAAAATTCCTAGAACCCAGGACCGTGGCGCTGATCAGAGAAATAGAGTGGGGCTCAAACCCAGGCGGGCTTCAGCGGTGTTTATTACATTATCACATTTTTTGACAAATGATCATTCTGTTTGCATACACTGTCACATGATATAAATAACTAATACCTGGAAATGCCACCTTCAGACACAAAAAAAGCAGTCCGCACCTGTGGAATGGTCAGTCTCATCACTTAAACACAGTGGGTATCTGATAGATTTTTAAAAACCTATTCATTGGTAGGACCCCATCAGATTGGTGAAGGCAGGAGCCTTAATTCGCTTGCTCTATTCAGGGAAGCAACCAGTACCAGGGGACTTTCTAGAAGCTAATCCCTACATGGGTCAGTGAGCTTTAGCATCAGGCTTCTATCTACTCCCTGTACCTTGTGAGTTTGACCTTGTGAAGACTGAAAACGAATTTAAAGTCACATACTTTTCTGTCACTAATCAGATAAAGTTTTTTTTTAAATAGATGCAAGCATCAATATTATTGCTGGTAAGTATAGATTTTTAAAATGGTTCTCAAAGTCAATACATATTAATTGAGAGTACTGTACTCCCGTATAGTGGTTTTTCTAAGAATTGCCTGGGCATTACCAGAAAGTAACGGATCTTCCTGGCTTTCCATCTCTCTTCCACTCTATTCACATTGGTAGGCACAAAGCAACACCAGGCTTAGAAAGAAAATCTGAAAATTGTGGATGACAGGCAGATAGAAGGCACCTGTTTAATTGTATTCAAACTCGTCTGAACTGGTTCCCAAAGACCTTCATCCTCTCCCCTCCAAGAAAAAGAGCAAACCAGCATTTTCTTTTAACTCGATTCTATTTAGGAAGGGTTTTGAAACTAAAAAAGAGACGGACCGAGGGGGGAAAATCTGATCTACCAGCTTTCGCAATATGCCAACAGCGCTGTATACAGAATAAGGAAGCTTCATTTCAGATTGAGGTTGCCAAGGTCACGAGATAGCAGTGTGAGCCCCTGCTTTAATGCTGAGCGTGACATTTTTTTTTTTTTTGTATCCTTTGTGAGGTGGTCCATACGGAACAGCATAGCACCTAGCCAGAGCAGGGTTCATTCCTGCTGGAAGGGGAGGAGCCAGTGTGAACCAGCCAGGGAAAAGCAAGAGCATTGGATTCTGCAGCTCGATGCCAGGATGTAGGCTGCTGCTGCCTTCTGGGGGGTGCTGCTCTGTGCCAGCTTCTCCTAAAGCAAATCAGAATTACAAGACGTCGTGGTCTCTCCCTGGTTTTACAGATTTAATACCCAGTAATTATGGGACTGCGTGATCCACAGTGTTGCTAACGCTCAGGTTCATGGTGACAGTGGGGAGGGAAGAAAGATGAACTTGATGTTTCCAGCTGATGTGGGATCCTGGCTGCAGGGTGGGGGGGTGTCCCAGCCCTTTGCTTTTAGCTCTGGTTGTTGTTGTCTCCCTACATCCTGTTCAGAAAACTATGCCCCTCGAGAAAGCCACCTCTTTAAATCACTCAGATTTCGTCATTTCAATCTGTGATTATCCAAGAGTTAATTATTGCCTTTCACGCCATCCCTGGCTTTTTTCTTGTCTCCTCCCTGTCCCTCCTGCTGCTGTCCATTTCCCTGTCATTAGCACTTCCACCAGAGACTGGAGAAGGGACAGCACAGAGGAGGCCATGCTTTAATCAGCCACTCTTAACTCTGTGTACAGGTTCCTGGACAGAAGAGATTAAAGTCCTCAGGTCCACTCACCCTAGTGTCAGAGTTCTCAGTGACACCATTTGCAGAAATAACTGAGACTCACATGAGCCGAATCTTCTTCACGTCCCATCTACCCACCATGGTGCTGATGCTTGGTAGAGCAATGTGGGTATCACGCCTCATTAGAGCAGTCCTGAGTCTTCCGCTGTCTATGCTGATGCCAGGAAGAAGGCGGTCACCTGTGGAAACTGTGTTTATTTACGGACACTGTGGCTCCAACCTGAGGATGCACACCTGCATTCACACCCACTGCCCCCTGGCCGTTTGAATTCAGGTCCCTGGGTGTAGAGGTTGTCTGTGGCTTCCGCCAGCTCATCATTCATTCCTGCTTTGGTTGTTGGACCCATGATTGGGTTGGAGGGAAACCAAAAATAATCTCAAAGTCTTTTTTTGTCTTATGAGATTCAAAACCTCAGCCCTGAGAAGATTTGTAGGCATGGTCAAGAAAAAAAGAGAGCAACAGGCACAGGAGAGAGGGCGGGGGAGAGAGAGAGAGAGAGAGAGAGAGAGAGAGAGAGAGAGAGAGAGAGAGAGAGAGAGAGATCAATCTAAGCCCAAACTCAAGAAGCTGGGGGGTCTCAGAGGAAGTGTCTGTGCCATGGGTCTTGGCAAGAGAATGCATGCCCCCAGCCTGTCCCTGAAGAACTATGGTAGCTGGACCTCAAGCAGCCCTGTGTGCTGGGAAGGAGGCTAGCTGTGGAGAGTGAGATCTGAGGAGCAAGGAGGAGTACCCCAGCCCTCATCGCCTCACCTGGTCTCCACACAAGACCTCAGGCAAACTCCCCAAAGGAAGCAGGTTGGTTTCCCTATTAGTGGGCAAAAATAGGAACTCAGACACAGAAATGAAGACTTATGAAACAAATAAGATTCTTTCCTATATACTTGATTCTATAGCCAAAATTCATCTTTACTACCCTTGTATTAATTATTTAGTAAATATACAATCTCCCCAGATCAAAAACAAAAGAGGAATAAAAAGAAGAAAACAAAACAACAACAACAAAAGGATTAGAAATTTTCGGATAATCTGTTATCTTTATGTATTTCTGAGGAAGTTATCCCACTTGTATTTGTATGAACAGCAGGTGATACTATGAGGTAAGATCCTAATGTTTATTCAAATACTTTTAGTTGAATTTTAAAAGGGGAAGTTTTATCTTTTTTGGAAGACAAATTTTAAAATGGATCAAAATCCTTAAAAATGTCTGTGTGTGTCTGTGTGTGTGAGTGCATGCATGTACAAATTCTACTTTAGGAATTTACCCTAAAGCAATTGTCATGAATATATTCAATGGTTTCATTAAAGAATGTTTATAAGGGTGACAGAGTTAATTTCCCCCTTTTTATAAATATTTCTTAGTGGGGTATAATTTATTTACAGCAAAATGCACAAATCCTAAGTGTACAGCTCAGTGGGTTGTAACAAATGCACACACCCCATGTAACCCACATGCCTGCAAGATAGAGCATATTTTTATCACCCCAGAACATTCATTAGTACCCATTCGCAGTCATCTCCCGAAGAAGCAACCACTGTTCTGATTTTTATCTTGGTAGTTCAGTTTTGCTTGTAAGAGATACTTTTGTGACCATATTAAATGTAGAATTTCTTTAAGTTTTCAGTCCTCTGTGAACCATGATCCCAAGAAGTCACTCTAAGCTCCAGAGAAGGACAAATCATGAACATCACTTCGGGAAAGAGAAGGTGACCGGATGCGAAAGGAGGAGGAATGGGGAAGCAATCCTGTCCCTTCTGCACTAAGGGATCTTGGCAAAACCAAAGTGACGGAATCAGGCAAGATTGCCCATGTTTTGATCCAGAGGGAGGCAAGATGTCAGATGGAAAGAAACGAGATCTCCTGTCTTTCCACCTTCCACCATAAGCCTCCCTTCTACGAAATGAGACCAAGATGATGTTCTGAAATGAGATCTGGCTGGCCTCTAGGACCGAGTGACCTTTTCAAAACTTTGGGTGTCAAAACAGAGGTCCAACGTTCCCAGATCCAAGGTCAAGACCAAGCTCCCTTGCACAGCATACAAAACCTTTATGCACCTCATCCTGGTCTTAGTTTAACTTCCTCTCCATAGATGACCAACTCATCCTAATATGCCTGGGGAAGGAAGGAAGCCTGTACCTTCTGTAATAATGGATTGTGGGAAAAAGCAAAGTGACAGAATCAGGCAAGATTGCCTATGTGTCTTCATCACCCAGAGTGGGGCATGGGGCAACTGGAATCCCCCAGTCCTAAGCACCCTGAGATGGCTGGTCACCCTATCCCAGCCCACCCACACTCTCCACCACCAGCACCCAAACTAAAACTTTGCACTTAATAAAACAGGGCAGGCCTCTGGTCTTATTAATTTTTATTTCATGGGCACTAATGAATTTCTCAATCTCTGATGATTCATTATGTTCATATGGCTAGTATTTTCTTTATGATTTTTCACCTCATTTCTGTTACTGGTCTTCAGAATAAATGTTTTTTGAAAAGAAAAGCAGAAATTCCATTGTGATGCTCTTTCCTTAATAAAGGGTGCTGGTTTAGAAGGCTCTGCTGGTCCCTCTCGTGTCTTCTCTCTCAACAACGGGCAGCAATATGCATTTTCCCACAATCACTTAATAAAATTAACTTTGTCGCAAGTAAAGAAGTGGGCCCGGCTTCTAATTTTCTAGTCTCTCCAGGTAACTTGGAACCTGTCTATTTTAGGACACTAGGAGGGTTGTTCCCCTTGTAAACAGCATTGCCACTGCCTTACTTCCTAAGATCACAACGGCAAGGTGGCAGTTTTAGACTCTGAAAGGATGCTTTACGAATTCTGAGAGTATTAATTCCCAAGGACCGTTTTATCATTATAAGTAGTAGGCTTAATGAAAAAAAGCCATCAAACACAACCCAAAAGCAATATTTTTCTTTTGTTCTTCTTATCCATTTTTACATTTTAACAAATGCTATTTTCTGAAATGGATATTTAGATACACTTGCTGCTGAAAGATTCCATTACTACTACGAATTCTATTAGCCAGCGTGCTTATTATATTAATGTTCGGAGCAGGGATCACTAGAAATGACATTTATTTGAGAAAATTAGGAGAAAACTATTCAAAATTAAACAACTTAATCCTTGTTTCGGATTGTGATTCACTCAAGTCTGCACAGCTCCAAACTCCCTGGGTGACCTGCATTTAATTCTGTCTTGAACAGCTTTTTCCCTATGTGGAGCATTCCAGAAGCCAAACTGGCTCCACCCATTTGGCTCAGATGTGAAATTCTTGCACAGATTCTACTCCCTGAGCACTAGGAAGGCCCTGGGGCCTCACCCCGGCGCTCATCCTTTTGTACAATGGGTAAGAGGACCAGAAGTCGACAGTTACCTCAGTTGCAAGGTCTCTTGCCGCCCCCTGCACACTGAGGAAAGATTTATTTTTGAAAGCACATGTTTGGTGATTTGGGTTGAAATGTGTGGCTTTTGCCCTCACAGCATCCCTATCACTTGAAATTCCCTCCTCCTCATCTTTGGTCCTCTTAGGAGCAGTATCAAAGAATCTGGCTGGTAGCCATTCTATAAAAAAAGCATTTGTTGCTTTGACAAGTGATCTAGCCCCTCAGGCTGAATATTACCTTGTTTTTAGCAGTTTTCATGCACACAGGCCTCCGCAGGACTTTTAAGCTATTAAATGAACCATTCTGTTTCTATTCCCAAATGTTTGCCTAGTGTCAGGATGAGGTCATCACTTGCCAAGGACTGACCCCTACCAGGCTAGCAAGGTTAAATGACTTCCAAATACCAGTGCAAAAGCCCAGAGAGTGACCGGGTCCTGGGTTCTGGAGGCCACAGCAGACCACAGGGTAAGAGAAGGAGACTTGCTGGACTTGTATTAGGATGCTGGGAACAGCCTAGTCTCTTTGTCTAGGGAAGGGAGTAGTTGACATTTGGAGAAGAGTTAGAGTAAATGATGAAAAATGATTGAAAGCCTGGGACGTAGGAACTAGAATTTAGAAAGTCAATGACATGTGAATGCATGAGGAATTGAATAATGACTAAATGACACCATAGGCTTTGGAGTCAAGTCCAGCACCTTGTCAGGCTCTCTCTTGCCTCCTTTTCCCCAAGGTAGTGCTTCCTAAGACAATTCCTCCTTCCCTGGTTTGTCTCAGGTTAAAAGTTGCATCTCCCATGAAGTCTTTTCTGGCTCTTTATCGTCTTGGATGCATGTCCCTCTCTTTGTTCCCAAAGCACTTGGGCTTGATCCTCTTGGGATAATAATATTAATGTGCTCATTGAGCATTTGCTGAGTGCCAGACCCTAATTTAAGCACTACACACATATTATTTCATTTAAATCTCCCTGTAAACTTTTATATAATCACTTTATAGGTGAGAGAACAGAAGCATTGAGATGGTTAAAAACTTGCTCAAAGTAAAACAGATCAGAAACTGGAATCCAGGACCTGAACCCTTAACCATCAAACTACTGCATTGTCTGTATCTCCGTTTTGAACTTCAAGGACACACCCGGATTTAGGGGCAGCAAACACAGACCTTATTCCTCAATCACTGTAGTGTCAAAGTCTTTAACCACTACCTTAGTACATTAAAATAATATGTGGGAGTGTGATGTGTGTGTGCGTGCGCACATACAAGCATGTGTAAACATGGCGTTCAGTCACTGTCTATGAAGTATTTTTAAGGAGATTCTAGGTCTTTCATTATATTCTCTATAGTCTGAATCAAACTTAACCCTTAGAGTGCCTATGATTCCTCAAACTACATACTTTCTGTGCAACCTCATATAAATAGACCCCCTTGCTCCTTCTTAAACCCATAAGAAAACACCTTTCAATAATCCAGACACTCAGGCTGTTTCTTTACCCCAACCTGCAGGTGGGCATTGTTGTTTTAACAGCTGGCATGTGAGATGAAACTTATCTGTCACCCCTCTTTTATGCTATCACTTTCTAACTTACTCTTCCTCACAATAGTAAAGACATTAGAATGGAATGGAACTGCTTTTAGGGAAAGAATGGAGTTTAGTGTTTCATGACTAGATTCATATTTTTAGATAGAGTTTGAAAAAAGGTTTAAAACAAATATTCTCTCAAATCTTAAATATATATTTGAACCCAAGCTACTGGTTTACACATAGTAGTTTTAAGGTGGTTTCAGATACTCTGGTGGAATTTGTCATAGCAATGGATTTTTACCCTTCTTCTCCTTAAAAAGCACTTACTGAGCGCCTAATTGTGGAAGGTTCTACACTAAACATTGCAGGAGGTGGATTATTCAGAGATGGTTTTAGAGTCCATAGACATAAATAATTTTACTCCTATAACTATAGAAGTTACTAAGGCTTACTTAGAACTGAAAACATTGTTTTATAAGTTGTCATTACTTTAAAACAGATATGTCAAGAATTGGAACAGCAAAGTGATTTTCAGTGGTTAAGTTGATGGTAGCCCGGTATTGTTGGACTTAGAAGCCAAGCCTTCCAATCAACGGCCCAATTGCACCCTAGACCTCCACCATTTCAGAAAAAGTGTTGGGTTGATGCTCGGCTGCTGGGAAAACTAATGATCAAAAGTCAGGAAAATTCTACACTTTAGAGGTTTTCTGGCAGGGAAGTGTTACTCAGTGAAAATGATCATATTTACTCGGAGACTAACTGATATTCATCTTATTCTGATGCCTGGCGCGGTATACCCAGAAAGTGCTAGATAGAGTTAGCATAATGGAATCAGTCTGTGCCCTCTCCAGGGAGAGAAACTTCTCATTTATGATGTGCTCTATAATAGTAATGATTTTATAGCTTTGTAGTAGACTCTCAACAAACAGCTTTGGAGATGGATTAAACGATTTCGTTTGGCTTTGGCTATTAGTCTATCTCAGAAACCGTTTTCTGTCTCATACACAATATACCGATAGCGATTATCCCTTATTTCTAAATAACACTATCAGGGATTCAATGACAATGAGAACAGCAGGAAATCCCGAGTAGAATGGTAATAGCTTCCTAAGCAGCTCGACTTCCCGTTTCTCCGAGGGCTGTGGTAAGCCAGTGGACTGGGGGACAGAGAACTTTTGTCTTCTGAATGCTGTCTTTATTTCCTCCATAAGAGCCAGTGATTGAGAAGGTGTGAGCACAAAAGAACTCGAACCAGCAGTACAAATTTATTTCATATCTTGGCAGAAACTCGCGCACCATCCCTGTCCAAGGTGATAATGGTATTCTTTCAGAACTGCGACCCTCCACAGGAAAACCAGGAGGGTCACACAATGGCCAGAAATTAACTCTTGACATACTTGCAGCTTTTCCAGTGAGCACCAGGGCTTCATATTTCAGACCTAGACGAGTTGATCTCCCCTGGTGATAGCAATCTGCCTTTCAATTTTGCTGTCTCGAACAGCCAGCTGTGAGCCTTTATATAACATTTCACAGTCCCTTAATTACCGCATGACAACCTCAGGGTTGCTAATCCTAATACCGTTCCGAAGTGAGGGACTTGTGACATATCAGCAGTTTAATACAACTCTTTCTGTGGTAATCATGTTTGGTGGAAAATATAGCTCTTCCCAAACACAGTGAACTGCTACCTTTAAAAATGCGAAGATAAACTTTTGCTCTTGCCCTACATTGCTGGAGAGAAATAGCCTCTTCTGTCCCAGCTGATAGGTTCACCAAGGATGCTAAATATATAACAAAAAAGCCAAATGAGAGAGACTTGTAGGAAAAAGTGGATAAAAACTGGCAGGAAAAGATGCCTTGGATGATTCATTGTGTCATTCAAGTGGAGCACGCTAGTCTTTTTTTTTCTTTTCTTGGCAGAAATGGGGTCACAGATACAGTATTACTGGGCCATGCAATGATGTAAGAGGACCCTAAGCTTCGATGGTCTTCACATGGCAGCCAGAACCTTTTTATTACTTCTGGGCAGGTGACAGCAGGCCAAGGCACCTACAGTGAAAAGAATGTTTTGCTTTCATTTGATTAAACAGAGACTTCAAATGGCCCGGCCTAATCATTCAAGACCAATATTGACTGGGATTCAAATAGGCTGGTTGGATTTCCTTGCTTCTGCTCACTTTCTGCCCAAGTTGGTATGCTACCGGCTGCCAGCAAGCAATTAATCAAGTATGCACTTCAAATGGAGCTGTGTAAATAGAATACAAAGTTTGGAGTTTGGTGAGTTTCCTAATACCCTGAGGCATATTAATCAATCAACAAATACTTACTGTGGCTCCCCAGTATCCTGCTAAGTGCTCTGGGAGATGGGAGTCATCTGAAACGGAGTTCCAGTCCTCCTACAAAGTACAAGGAGAGATGACTTGAACCCCAATGGACCTGGGTCTAAATCCCGGCTCATCAACTTATTAGGTTGGTGACCTTGAACAAGGGCAGTTCTGATCGGGGACCTTACAATTAAATGAGGTTAAAAATTACTGTCTTGCAGGGTTGGAATTTCCAGCTCAAGGCCTCATATCTGGGCTCTTGAGTTGTCTATGCAGAATTCTACTGACTCTGTCTACTGGAATATAATCTAATAGGATTACAAACCAGATGTGCCCACAGAGTTCACCCTTGTCCTTCCCACCTCCACGGAGATCCCGGAGACCCACAATTTCCCTGCAACTTTTCTCTCTCAATAAATGACATCACAGTCCCACTTGAGGTCCTTATTTTTCATATCATTCAATGGCAACTCCTCTTGGTCTTATTCTGAAAATACATCTCAGATGAGCTGCTTCTCTGTGTCTTCGTCGCCTCCACCCATAATTCAGACAACCCTCAACTAGAAAAACGGGGACCTCCTTCTCTGGTTTCACCACTCTGACTCTTAACCCTCTAGTCCAAGCTCCACTCAGTAGTGAAAGTACTTTAAAACCTACCTGGGGACCTTCAGTTCTGAATAAGTTATAAAAATTCATGAAGTCCTATTTTTCAGTGGTTTACAATTTATTGTTTTACCTGTTTGTCTCGGGACTCAAATTACCCCATATTTGATCATGGACAGCGTCTTTAAGTGACTCATATCTTAGTGACAGGCCCCACCACTTTTTGAGCATTTCTTCTCTCCAGCCCTAATGAGACTGTCCAGGCTCTCTTCGGCCTACCCACCCTAGATCTGGAATGGGCTCCTTCTCCTGCCTCCTTTCATTGAGCAATAGTATTAGAGAAAAGATCTGGGTGCTAAGTGTGCTCATTACTCCTGGAGTGGCATTGCTTCTTGGTCCTTTGAAAGGGCAGGGCTAGTAAACTTGCAGGCACATGTATATATACATATGCATATATGGATATGGATATACTGACATGAACATAAATATACATGTGCACATTTACATGGATGAGCACATGAATATTCATACTTTAGATGTCATGAACTCATATTGTTCTCCAATTCAGTTAATCCCTACAGGGTTCACCTATTTCTGTTTAATATTGGCAAGTCCTTTCTTACAGAGTGAGAACCCTGGCCTCCAACAGTACCAGTCCATTTAATTATTTGCTCAATCCTTTAATAATACATTTAACTTTTCTTTTCCAGAATTGTTTCATTCATACCTCTTCAAAATCCAAACTGACCAAAGGGAATTCAAGATTTGTTTGCAGTTTTCTTACCACATTCACCCTGACCAACATTTAGGGCTTAATGGTCAAATTATGTGTTTCTAAGTTATCTGATTGTTCTTTTCTTTTTTTCTTCCCTAGTGTGACTATGGTATTTTTTGAAATAACATTCAGTCCATTTGTTTTATTTTACTTTCCTCTTTGAGATTTCCCTTTTCCATCTTTATTGGATTCATTTTTTTGAATATTTAGAAGATTAGCATGATTCCAAAGGCCAAAATTATACTGGAAGAAATAATCCCCACCCCCATCCCTTTTGTTTCTCCTCTGCCTTCACCCACCTAGTGGGGAAGAGAGTTTATGTTTCTGATTTTTTTTTTCTTGTGCTTCTTATCTAAAGGTAAGTAGATCTGTGATTTATTACTCTCCCTTCTTTCTTACACAAAAGGCAGAATATTACACACACCCTTTTGTACTTTTTCTTATTTTTCATTGAAGAACAGTATTTCCTGGAAATCACTCCGAACCATCTCACAGGTCTCTTCAATATGGTATAGAATGTTTGACACCATTGGGTGTATGCACCATGGTTTATCCCATCAATTCTTGGCCACGTAAGGAGCTCCCAATATTTTGCAACTACATATGAGCTGCAATGAATAAATTTGCACATATTATTGGAAGTGGATCTTCAGTGGAAGTTCCCAGAAGCAGGCTTGCTGGGTCAAAGAATACGTGCAACTGTAGTTTTGTGAGACAGGACAACTTTTCCCTCCAATGCAAAATGCCATTTTGCATTCCAATCCGCACTGCATAAGGGTCCCTGTTCCTCACAGCCTCATCAACAGAATGTATTGGCAAGCTTTTGAATTTTGCCAATCTAAAGAATGACTGTGGTTTAACTTACTTTTCTTTCATGTATAAAGTTGCACATACAGTGTTATTTTATGTTTACGGCCGTTTTTTTTTTTTCCTGGTGAATTTTCTGTTCTTGTTTATTTTTCCACAGGATTTTTTGTGTTTCATTGTTCAATATTTAAATATTATTTGTATATTAATGATACTAGCCCTTTACCTATAAAATATATGGCAAATATTTTCTCTCAGAATGTTATTCATATTAAAGATTGTTTAATTTTTTGATAGTAAGTTTATCAGTATTTTCTTACATTACGTATGAACTTTTATTCACAGTGAGAAATCTTTCCCTACATTCAAATATATAGGAATTGCCCCATGTTTTCTTCTAGTACTTTTGTAGTTTTATTTTTACATTTAGATCTAAAGCGTTTGGAGTTTATTTTGTATTTCTATGAGGCATGGATCTAATTTTACCTTTTCTAAAGAGATATTCCAGGAGCTGTGGTTGTGGCTCAGTGTTAGTGTGCTTGCCTAGCATGTATGAGGCACTGGGTTTAATTCTCAGCACCACATACAAATAAATAAAATAAAGGTCCACCCAACAACTTTAAAAAAAAGAATTAAAAAAAGAGATACTCCATTGTTTCAACACTGTTAAGAATATAGAAAACAGGTAGTGTGCACCTGTAATCCTAGCAGCTCAGGAGGATCACGAGTTCAAAGCCAGCCTCAGCAACTTAGCAAGACCCTAAGCAATGTAGTGAGATCCTGTATAAAAAAAATATATTAAAAGGGCTGGGATGTGATTCAATGGTTAAGAGCCTCTGGGTTCAATTCCCATTAACAAAAAAGAAAGAAAGGAAGGAAGGAAACAATCTTAGGCATAACAATTTTCTGGGATACAACCCTTATATATACTGCATTTCTATAAATATCAGGTCTTAAAACAGTTGTTTGCTATTTAAAAGAAATCCTTAACAAACTTTTTTCATTTTATTTTAAATAGTTTCTCATTTAAAAGCAAACTTTAACAAATGTTTCATAGCCACATATGGACTGATGTAAAGAATTACAGTTCAGAAGAGCCCAGAACAGAACCAATCTGCACCAGTTTGCCAGCTCTTTCCCATGAGCCTTTGGTGTGTACACAAGGGTAATATGCTGATGGCTGGGGACAGAGCAAGAGACCTTTCAAGAACTATAGTTCCAAAGAAACATGGCTCATCATCTCCTACATACAAGAATTTTTGACACAATGAAGCCATCTTACTGAGCTCTCTGTGAATTCCTAACCCTTGGATTCATGAAAAACAAAATTATTAGTAGACTAAGATGTTTTGGTTTATATGCAGCAAAAATAACTGATCTGCCACTTTTTAAACATGGTACTGAAAGTCTCGTCTAGTAAAATAAGGTGGGGAAAATAAATAAGAAAAAGACATATATGTTGTGAAAAGGAAGAAGTAAAACTTCCATTGTTGGCAGATGACATGACTGTATATAGAAAGCCCATGGGAGTTTAAAAAAATAAAAACCTACTAAAACTAATAAGTGGATTCTGTATGGTTGCAGAATGCATGGTTAATATATAACTAGCAAAAAATAAAACAAAATACAAACATTTATAATAGTAGCAAAAACCTAATACCTAGGAACAAATCTAACAAGAAACAAGTGTCAGAGACAGTAAAAAATCTCTGCACTGAAAACAAGAACATATTTCTAAAAAAAAAAAAAATAGAGTGGTACCCGGTTGTTGGATTGGAAAACTCAATATTATCATGATGTCTGATCTCCTCATGTTGACCCTGAGATTCAACACGAACCCAATCAAAATCCCAGGAGGCTGATTTACAATTTTTGTGAAAGTGCAAAGAATCTTGAATAGCCTTAATAAGTTTGAAAAAGAAGAACAAATTTGGAAATTTATAATACCTGTTTCAAGACTTAAACTAAAGCCACTGTAATCAAGGTAGTGTAGTGCTGGCATAGGATAGACAAATAGATCAATGGAGCAGAATACAGAGACTACAAATAGACCACAAAATATGGTTGATTGATTTTTCCAAAGCCTTAAGTCAATTCAATGAGGAAAGGAAAGACTTCTTAACAAATATTACTGGAAGAATTTGATATCCATGTGAAGAAAATAAAAGCTAATACCTTTACATACATAAAATTTATGTATTCATATGTATAGGAATATGTGATTTAAAAATTAAAGCATGAATGCAGAACAGGGACTCTAGGAAAACATACATGTGAAACATATATCTGAGAAAGTTTCCACTTCCATACATATCAACAACTCCAATATTTAACCCTAATACAAACTAGCACAATGTGTAGAAAGAAAAGGATATAGCAAAGTCCAAAACACATAGGAAAAGAAGTTCAGTATCACTGGTCATCATAAAAATGCAAATTAGATAGCAACCTAGTGCCCTTCAACAGATGAATGGGTAAAGAAAACATGATACATATACACAATGGAATATTATTCAGCCATAAAGAAGAATGACTTTATGACTTTTGCAGGCAAATGGATGGATCTGGAGACTATCAAACTAGGTGAAATAAGCCAGTTCCAAAAAACCAAATATTGAGTGTTCTCTCTGATATGTGGATGCTAACACAAAACAACTTGGGGAGAGGAAGAATAGAGTTCAGTAGATTAGACAAAGGGGAATGAAGGAAAGCAGGGACAGGAATAAGAAAGAAAGTGGAATGAATCTGACATAACTTTCCTATGCACATATATGAATACACCACAGTGAATCTCCACATCATGTACAACCACAAGACTGGGATCCTAATTAGAATAAGATGTACTTCATGTTTATATAAATATGTCAAAATACACTTAATGTCATGT